TGGCCTTCGAGAAGGTCGTGCAACTCGTTGAGATCACCGCAAATATGCGGTTGACTGAGTATCGGCGGGCTGGATGCGGTTATGTGCTGCCATGGCAGCGGGACGAGGGCATGTTGGATTGCCAGGCAGGACTCGAGTTGGAGCCTCTGAGCACGGGAACTCGTAGGGGGATGACGGACGAGGAGATTGCCCGTCAGGTTGCACTTATTACCCGGGATCCCATTGGGGCGTCCGCACCACCCTCGGCTGATGCCGTTTTCGATAGACGTGCTTGCATTTTTCGTCCCTACCCCAGGGACGACGACTCAGACGAGGAGACGATACCCGAGGCGGCAGATGACCCTGCGCTCCGCATTCCCCGGGAGATCGACGAGATGCACGAGGACCCCGGCTCCGAGGACACGAGGACACAGACTGCACGACGGGGGGCGGACCGGGCGGAGAGCAAGATGCTGGGGGGAGACGAGGACTTTTGGGGCCCATTCGGTGAGGTCGCTTCCACGGGCGGCCCAGAGGCGCAGGCGACGACCCCCACTCCGACGAGGCGGGATTCGTCTATGCCGCCACCTCCTGCTCCGAGTCCTGCACCACGATCGCCCGTCTCGCCACCTCAGCCGGACAGGGAGGAGTTGGGGTCCTCTTTGCCTCAGCGAGGCCTTCTCCACAGAGGCGGGGCAGTCCGCCAGCTTAGGTTACGATCACCTTCCCCGGGGATAGGGCAGGAGGAGGGGGGACCTTCGGCAGCAGCAGTGGAGAGTTCGATGGCACCAGCGGCTGTGTCGGACGCGACGATCGGGGCCGCGGTGGAGGAGATAGCAGCAGCAGCAGCAGCAGCAGTGCTAGAGGAGATGGCAGCATCAGTGCTGGCGGAGGATCCACCAGCGGTAGGAGGAGGTGCAGCAGTGGAGGGGCAGGTGGCAGCAGCAGGAGGAGCAGGTGGAGGAGCAACAACAGTGGAGGTTGAGGTGGCAGCAGCACTGGAGGAGGAGGACGCACCGTCGGCAGCTGCAGTTGAGGAGGAGATAGCCGCACAGGCCAAGGTGCAGCGTGGGGGCGATGACGAGCGCCTCATGCAGCAGTTCCTCATGGAGGAGCTCGGTCCGGCCATAGCGGGTATGACCCCGGGTATGGAGAGGGGGTTTGGGATTTCAGATTCGGAGATGGGGAACCACTTAGACTTGGATTTGTCAGTGGGCCTTCCATCCAGTTGCGGCGGGGCGACATCGACGGATCGGGCTCCATCGAGGGACGAGGCGCTAGGCAGGACTTCGACGCAGACCGCCAGACAGAGGACGACGACTCAGTCTTCAGATGCAGCACACGACATCATGGAGCGAGAGAGGGCTAGACTTTCGTTCGCACGGGCCGTAGAGGACGCCAGGCGTCTAGAGATAGGGGGGGATTGTGTGGAGGGTGGGGTGGTGGCGGGGGAGGACGTTGCGGAGGGAGTGGCAGCAGAGTCGGTACCCGAGGCTATGTCGGGTGGAGCAGAGACAGCGGACGTTGCTGTGGAGGGACGGACTCAGGCGGTGGATGAGGCAGTGCAGGCAGGACAGCGACGAGTCGAGGGGGCTATAAACTCACGACGCGAGGGGCAGGAGACAGCGACGGGTCCAGTCGTTCCGTTCTCGGGCCTGCACTTGGCTCAGGCCCGACAGCCGCAGGCGGTTCAGATGGCAGTGCATGGTGTGTCACCGCCCGTTATCACAGATTTGGGGTCCGAGCCGGTGGTTGTGCCCCCACGTCTTCCTAGCCACTTTGCTCCGCAGGAGGTCCGTCGTCCTTTGGATGCAGAGGAGTTGGCGAGAGAGGCTGTGCGCGATGTTACTCGCTTGGACCGGCGGATCTTCGATCGGAAGCTCGAGCACCCACCGTGGCAGTCGATCCCTTCGGTTCCATGGGGTCCTGCGTCACCCGTGTGGTCTGGGTCTACCTCCACTGGAGGACATACCGTGGGACATGTTCCAGGGGTTTCGGGTGGCAGGACGGAGACAGCGCCACGCACAGGAGACATGCCACCCCCTCCTCCCAGAGCACCTGCAGGTGATCCATCATCGTCACCCACAGGCAGAGGCTCTCGATCCCCCCACACGCCTGGGAGATCTAGGATTCGTGACACGACAGCAGTTCAGCAGGACGTGTGTGACACGACGATATTCGGGAGGACAGATATACATTTGGATTCCACCCGCCGTGTCACGGAGCACATTGCACGCCTTCAGTCGGGCTTGGGAGGAGGAGGCGCTAGGACGACCACGGCGAGGGAGGTACCGGCATCGGGTTGTGAGCCTCAGCGAGGTCGTGGCAGAGGAGTGTCGACTGATACCTTGGAGTACGCTCTGAGAGCAGCGACGCGTGCCGTGCAGGAGCATACTCCACGCAAGCGTGGAGTACCTCCTCGTCCACGCCCCGTGCCTGCAGAGGGAGGCGCAACACTTGGAGAGAGTTCGRGGGCGGAGGGGTTGGGGATGCCTCGTGGTTCCCGCCGTGAGCAGACCATTGCAGAGGCTAGTGCGAGGGTTGTTGTGTTGAGGAAGGGAGGAGGCCCAGTCACCATCGAGGAGGATGATCCTGATACGGATGCGGCTGTGCGGGATGCGGACGAGGACTACGAGGGTGAGGAGGAGGGAGAGGAGGATAGCAAGAGCGGTTCCGATGGTGACGACGACGACGACTACGATGAGCCCCCACCTTCCCCAGGACCCCCACCGACGCGTGCATCTAGACGCTCCGCTGCACAGACTTCTTCATCCTCACGAGGGAGGAAGAGGTCGACATCCGGCACTCGAGGGGGCACGAGGAGACACGGCGGGAAGGGGAAGAAGGGTCGTTGACCGATGAGGCCAACACTCCACTTCTCCCCTACTTGCAGTGTACGTCGTCATGTTGTGCAGTTGTAGTTTTTTTGGTAGTCTGAGTCGTCTCGTCTTGTCTCAGTATTGTCAGACACTCAGTGGTTGTGTGCGTGCTTTACTTGTTGGTGTGTATGATTTTGGTAGCAGTAGGGTGTTCGTAGAGTATGATTTTGGTGCCCGTAGGCTGAGTAGGATGTTCGTAGAGTGTCGTCGGTTGCACACTAATGAGTTCAGACTGTACATTATTTTTTATTTCTTGTATCATTTAGGCAGTTACGACACGACTTGTAGACTATTGTTTCTTGTATTTTTTTCGACATGTAGTGCCAGTGCATTAGCAGTAGCCTGTAGGATACATTGTATCATGTTGCATTTGCGTGTGTGATATTAGTATCAGCCTGTCAGGTACTTCGCATCGTTCACGACTTTTCATGTACATTACATTTTCTATTACGAGTGATGCACTTTGCCTGTCCATTTTATTGTCGGTGTGTGATTTTATATCTTTAACTGTTGTTTTCATTTTCAATCTCATTTCTTGCATTTTTTTCTTTTAATTTATTTATGGCTTCGAGAGTTCGGTACTTATTTTTTTTTTCTATCTTATTTGTTGATTCTATTTGCATTGAATGAAACACTAACTGATGTTTCGGGGGGTGCACAGGGTGGGGGGTTTTGTGGTGG